TCCTTCCCAATGCCTAGCAACAGAGTATCCAATATGCCTATAAGTAATTTCTGATAGAAATGATTGAATTAATTCAAATCAAAGTGTGGGCGACATTTAATTCTCCCAAAGGTCTGTTTCTATCTTTAACCAAGCTTTTTAACACAAATGAATTTCTAATTTTTGGATACAGCTGTTGCTGTCTATTTTTTTCCTGACTAGCACAGAGTATACGCTCTGGTTCTCTTTGCCAAACCTACCATTTCCCTTCCCTGCTATTGTCACTAAACAGAGAATCAATCAAATGGAATGAAACGTAAGTACCCCTACCCCATGTGCCCCAACCACATCCCACATCGCACATCTCATGGAGCTCAGTGAAGCAAAAGTCCTGCCAGGGACCGAGGAAGGCACACCAGGAATCTGAAGTTTCGGACAAGAATCCCTCCTTGTACTGACGATATAGGCCCAGAGCTGTTTACCTTTCTTTAGTTTTGAAAAAAGATCAGAAATTAAAATGCTCTTGGTTTGAATGCAGATTCAGAGGGAAAAAACATTATGCAATAAATCTACAGAGCTCAGAAGGGAGGTTTTTAATTTTAGGAGTTAGCTGGTTTTAAAAAAAACAAACCATGAGCAATAGAATCCACTTAATGTTCCCTCTTTTAGAGTGAACTGGAGATCTAGTCATCATCCACTAATGAGCTGAACAATAAACAGTATATAACTCAATCAGATTCTTCATTGGATGTCCTAGGGACTGCATTCGAATATACAGCATCTGGAAGGTGAGTCTCTAAGCCCCTACTTAGGCAGTCAATAACATGTTAATTCAGACATTTTAATAAAAATATTAAATATAAACCTGTTAAAATGAGTTGGAACTATTAATTAAGATACTGTGAAAAGAGAAATTAAAATAGTAATAGAAGAGTGAGGGAGTATATGGGAACTGTCTGTACTTTGCATTCAATTTTTCTGTAAACCTAAAACTGCTCAAAAAATAGAAATGGAATAGAAATTAGGAACAGAGAATAATCTATAGAAGTAGGGATTATAATCTCTTGTTTAATTCTATGGCCTGATCAACATGAAAGAGTATCAACCAGTTTAGTCCTTGGGGATCTAATCCTCTACTGAAGCCATTGTCTGGATGACTCATCAGACAATCAAATCCAGTATTAGGACATCTCTTACACGGTTGTTCTACATTAATTATCCTTCAGAATGTTATGTGACTATCTAATCACATGGTTACATCCTGCCTCTCCAAATAAAGTACAAGTAACTTTAAAGCAGAGAAAAAAGCTGGCATGTAGCACAGTGCCTTTAACATAGTATAGATGATAACAATATATATCTGACTATTTGCAATGTATAGTTGATCAAACTCTAGGTGCTCAATATTTGCTATTTAACTGCAAAGTGATGGGGTACTAAGTATCAATGAGATCCCTAGGGGGTGGGATATAAAGGACTTTCCTCACTTTGTACTTCATATAATTAGCTTTTAGTGGTTGGATTATTCATTTTTCAAGTTTCGATTTTCTACTTAAAAACAGGGAGTATTTTTGCAAAAGACTATAGGGAGCCAGAGCAAATGTACGAACATGAGTGAGCACACACAAAGGGAAGATGGTTTGGGAACGAGTGGTGTTCCTTTACTCTTCTCTTTTCCATGGTTATACATTGTTACTGGCCTTCTGCAACAAAGGGAGACTCCTACCTAAATATTTACCCCTATTTAAAAACTCAAATCAAGGCCAGAAATGGCCAGTGAAGGGACCAGATGCCAGTGTCTACCAACATCAATGTTATGTTGCTGGTATCCTACGAACCCTCCTACCAATAGGTTTGCTGATCCATATACAGGAGGCAGCAGGGGCTACAGGAGTTCTATCTAGACAACAATAATTTTTGTGTTCTTGTACCAAGATCTCATGGAAGAAGTTAAAAGAAGTCATGCAAACATCCTTTTCTTTATCAAGTACCAACTTAGGTGTTTGGGCATCCCATACCATGGCTTAAAGAGATTAAGTATGATCTTTTGGAGACTGATCAAGAGTTACAGTTCCTGGAGCTCAATAATGGACCCACCTGTGCTCTCTACGCTCCTCAGGCAGTTTTCGAGTTTCAAATGTCACAAGAAACTGCTTCGCATGCCAATGGCTGCCACACCCTCCTCTACAGCATACCTCCCTGCCTACCAGAAGTATGAGACATACCTCCATGTCTAGCCATTGTCAACAAAGAAACAGGCCAGCTGGGAAAAGAGCCAAAAATCTTTTGGTTGGAAAGTTTTCAAGGTAGACAGACACTCTACTTTAGCCTTCAATAAAGTATGTTTGGAGCAATATAAATAATAAATTAAGAACAGTCACCAAAGGGCTATTAATTTTATTTGGTTTGTGACATCTTTTAATAACATTATTATTACATCTTCTAAAATTCAAAGCACAGGAGATTGTAGTTTGGAATTGGATCTGCTACCTGCATTCTCAATACATCTCCTTCTTTCTTGCTCTCTTCCACCCTCATCCCTCAACACAGAACCCATTCCCTACCAAGCATCTCCAAAGATAACCAAACATAACATCCAGGCACTGGATGTCTTCAGCTTGTAAAACTACATACTCTTTTTTCCTGCCATTCCCAAGTTTAGGTCATGTTAGTATCCTCTTTGGCTACATTACTATGCTCTTCAAAATACTGAGTAGTTGCCTAAATTCTTTCATACCTATTCTAAACAGTGTTAAGACCCGAACAACAAGGTTGCACAGCTGAACCCTGCTCCCCAAATACAGAAGCCATATCCCTAAGCTATCACACAGAAACCAAGTTCCAGCAGCAATGATGTTTTGAAAGGCCCTGAAGTCCACTCTAAAAAGGCGGAGAGCTCTAACTCTGCCCTTGCCTACATCCATTCAATAAATATTTATTGAGTCCTACCATGTGTAAAAGGCTCTGTGCGCCAGGTCCTTCTTTTTACGAAGCTTTTCTTTCTCTCCTATGCGTACCTGTGCCCTCTACCCACTCAGGTAGTCACTTTACCAACTCCTATGAACACTGCTTCCTTTCTCATACTAAGGCCTTCTTTCAATGCTTAGATTCTTAATAACTTCTCTATATTCACCTAACTTCCTGCATTATGAGTAATTCTTAATCTGATTTGGGTCTAAAACCTCTGCTGAACAGTGTTTTTCTTTCTAATTATGGGCTGACAGCCATCTCTAGTTACCACACTCACATTCTGATACACATTTAAGTTTGTGTATTACCTTTGAGCAGTGGTTCTCACTTTATGTGCATCAGAATCACCTGAAAAACTTGTAAATACACAGACTGCTAGGCTAAAGAGACTGCATTTCTAACAAGTTCCCAGGGACCATGCTTTGGGAACCATCACTTTTGAGACTCTGATGAAAACTATGAAAAAGTGTATATATATATAAAATTTTGCACGCAATTTCAAGGGGTTTATGGATGACCATTTGTAGACACCTTCTGCTCTAGATTTCTTTCTAAGGAATGTTTAGGACGTAGTGTTTCCTGACTTGACCATAAGTATTAATTGCAGTACAGGTGTGCATGCAAACATCTCCTAAGAATGATGAAGAAATACCTGGTACTGGAAAATCAGTTCTGTCCAATGTGCTGCCTTCTTCAGCCTCACATGTCTCTTTCACATGCATGTAATCATTTTTCTGCACTTCTGGTTTAATTCTCAGAAACAAAAGACTCACTGTTGAGTATTTAAAGGGCTTTTTGGAATCACTCAAACAAAACTATTTTATAGGTGAGAAAGTGGTCTGGTAAGAAAGAATATAAACATTGGATTAAGACAGAACTAGACTGAAATTCTGATTCCGCTTTTCCTAAAGGTATGAACACTAAGCTTCAATTTCCTCATTTATAAAATTTCGGATTTCATAGGGAAATAATTTTTTTCCCTTCCAGGGAAAGGTTTTCATAGGGAAATAATTTTTTTCCCTTCCAGGGAAAGGTTACATGAAAGGAATGAAACAGGGAGTGGTTCTACTATTTCTTATTTATGGTAAGGAATTTTTTTTTTTTTTTAAGACTGACCCTGAGCTAACATCTGTTGCCCATCTTTTTTATTTTTTGCTTCTTTTCCCCAAAGCCTCCCAGTACACGGCTGTATATTCTAGTTGTAGGTCTCTCTAGTTGTGCCATGTGGGATGCTACCCAGCACAGCTTGATGAGTGGTGCTAGGTCCACACCCAGGATCCGAACTGGCGAAACCCTGGGCTGTTGAAACCTTGGGCTGCCGAAGCAGAGCATGCGAACTTAACCGCCTGGCCACAGGGCTGGCCCCTATGCTAAGGAGTTTAAACGGTAGTGAGAGAACGAATGTCTAAATTAAGAAAATGAGAAGACTGAACTAAATAATTTCTAAGATGCCTTCAAATCCAACATTTTGTATGTAGGAACTTTAACTAGCTGGCATGTCATTATTCACTTATATTTTCTATAGGTACTCAACAATCATTTATTCTTTAACTCATCATAAACTCCTTAAAAAGAAAATCATACCTTTATTTTTCTATTCCTTTCTCTACTTTCTTCCCTCTACAGTGTCTAACAACATTCCAAGATCTACTGGAAACATAAAATTAATATGAATAATAATAAATTATTCTCCTTCCCTCAAACAGGCCTGGGAAAATACATCTTTCCAACACAGAAAAGCCCTTCTGAATAAGTTTCCCTCTGTATTTCCTCAACAGCCGGAATCTATTAAATTATCTTTAATCCATTCAACAAGATCTCTCAGGACTTGGCTATTACAGATATAGCTCAATTCTGTATGTTTTACATTTTAAAGATCTATCAGACATTCTTTTCTCAATTTACAATCTTATTAGTTTATTGCAGAAACTCTTACATTGGATGTAATATGAGTGAATGTGCACAAATGTCTACCAAAATTATACCCCCAAATCCCAGGTTCTAAGAATCTAGAAATCACCTTAGCATCCAGCCATTTCCACTAAACATACCTCTTGTAGAAGACGTGGATCCAGGCAGTCACCATCATCATTAAACATAGACTCCCAGCTCTCCTCAGTAGCAGCACTTCCTTCAACATGAGAAGCTTCAGTTGCTTTCAGTTCCATGGATGTTTCCACAGACACTGATTCTGTATCAGGAAAGGATACACCAAATTCTGTATTCTCCGAGTCATCTTCCTCTTTTGTTTCGAACTCTTCAGCAGTTTTTAGTTCAAGTAATGTCTTTGTTATATCACCAGTACAATCTAGATCATTGCCCAAGGCACTGTCTGAAAGTACTTTTGTCCCATTTAACATACTGAGTTCAGAGTCCAAAAAAGTGTTACAATTACTACCAGCAATCTTCTTTATAGGTAAGGAGGAAGCACAATCTGACAAGCTCTCTATCAACTTTCCTGTTGACTCAGTGAAACCAGATGAAATACTCTCAGCATAAATATCTGAGCAAGCAGTCAGGTTGCTGAAATGTTCAGTGTCATTTCCACTTCTAGCTACATGAAGAGGAGCTGTAGCTGCACTCATTTCTAGATATTTTGAGAAACTACTTGTGTTGCTACAGGCCTCGTCAGCTATTCTAACTGCAACTACACAAGGGCTGCCTACAGTTACTTGATCAGATGTGACATCTGTAATGTCCATCACACATGCCTTATTGGTAATGTCACCTACACTCTTAGACCCATTATCTGTACCTGATTCATGAGCAAGGACGGCTGTATCAGAAGGTTCATACTTTACAAATAATTCATCAGTAGTGCTGTCATTCTCCTCACACTCTCTAATCATTGTTGGCTCAAAAATGCCATTTGTGCTCTCTAATTTGCTGACGATAGTCATTTTATGAGAGATGTGACCCATAGTCTCAGGAATGGAATCTATACCTTTCTGACCCAAGATGAAATCTGTACTGTTGGCTACATCCCCAACATTCTCAGCTTCAAAGTCTACAAAAGTTTGCTCAGTGACACCATCTTTTGGACTTCCAGGAACGGAGACAGTGGTGATGCCTCCATTGCTGAGCTTCAACATTCCACCTGCTGTTTGCATATCTTGTTGTACAATTCCAGAATCAGAGCTTAGTTTTATCGGTGCAAGCATACTCTCAGCTTTCAACACAGAATTAAAAACTCCAGGAAACTGGGATAGTATCTCCACAACTGTAGTATCAGTTTCCATTCTGCTTTCCAAATCTCTGTCTTCAAATGTCTCCCCACTTAGCTCGTGCCCACTGAAATCACAGAATTCCACATTTTGGAATGGTTTGTTTAGAACCTGAGATTCACTGATTTCTGAACAAGACTGAGATACAAACAACCTCTCCTGTCCTGTCACATCTGTGGTTCCAATCTCAAAACACTGCACCTTCTTTGGTTTAAAATGTCTTTGTAAAAATACACTAGGTACAATCCCAGGATTTGGGCCTCTTTGCTGATGTGCTTGGGATAATACTTCTTTGGATTCTGTGGTTCCCTTCTTAGTACAAATCCTATCTTTCTTACTTTCTTGAAGGCACGCATCTTTTCTTAACTTTGTTGAAGATTTCTGTCCTTTCCTGTGATTGTGCTCCTTTTTATCAGGATTAATACTCAGTCTTTGAGCTGCAGGTTTGTCTCTAAAGATCTCCTTTTGGGAAAGACAATCTTCTTTTTGTTCCTCTTTCACCATGGAGTTAGATGGACCAGAGTTTTTTTCCTTACCACCTGACTCAAGGAGGACTACACCCCTTCGAGCTTTAGGTACATAAAGTGCCATGTCAGGCCTTCTGGCTCGAACTCTGCATCTCTCTGCCTCTTGCTGCATGGCACCACTTCAATCTGCAAGAAAAAGAGAGAATGATTTAATTACCAGAAACTAATTACAATGTATTGAACCAAGAGATTTTTAAAGACTAGGTAGAGGGCCTAGTAATCCATCCTATAGAAACCCTCAAGTTAAAAGTAAAACTTGCCATAAAATAATTAATGTAATCAGGTAAACAACTAAGAAAAATAAATTCCAAAATAACTCACGAGCCCATGAATTTTATCCATATATCTTCTTTCTTCATTTTCCCAAAACCCTTTATCTCTACCTCCCAAGTCCTCTCTACTTTTTAACAAGTAGCCTTGTCTAAAGATGAATTAAAACAGATTACAACAACGACTGCCAGCTATCAAGTACTCATAAAACACAATGATCTTCATAGTCTAGGAGCTCAGAATTTACATGGAAGAGTATATTCAAGAAGGACCCCTAAAAACACATTAGTTGAACATAAATATTTATACATAAATATGATTTTTAAGAGTAACTTGAATGTAGCCTAGAAAATGAGATGAAATCAGGAACTGCTTTCTAGAAGATCTGCTTTTGAACATAATTTTTAAGGAAAGATATGGGTAGTGCAAAAGAGAGAGCCATTATTCTATTAATACTATTTAATCAAGTGACCTACTGTAAGTTTTTCTTCCTTCCAGCAGCAATAAAACAGGTCTGGGTAGGATGAAGAAGGGTGGAGGTCATGGAATGTGACGAGACAACTCACACTAGTAACTTCCTGACAACCTCCACCGTGGTTGGTCAATGGAATTTAACAAGAGGAAATAATTTAACAAAGGTTACATAAACCTTTATCTACTATCTATAAAATACAAGGAAATGTGCTAGACAATTTCACACTGAAATAATCTTTGAATCTTCAAAATAACACTGTGAAGTAGGTATTATTTGTCCAGAGCAGAGAGAATAGGAGGTGCTACACATTGCAAAGAAATACCTATATATACTCAGAAGCACCCATTGTTAATATTTCACCACACACATTTCAAAGAAAGAGATAATAAGAAAGAATGAACGACTAACAAATCCTGTCCCCTCTATTCCTGATCCCTCATTTCACCTGATACAGAATACTTCCTCAGTGAAAAGGCTCTGCTCTCCTGGCCCAGGCTATTTTCTTTTCAGCCCAAGTATATACTATGGCCCTGATAATCAAGTGTCTCCAGTGATCCTCTTGTCCCTTTTCTCTTTTGATGTCTTAATTATTGTCTAGCCCACCATTCTTCATGGATTTTCTATCTTTCCATTTGTGGAAGAATATGCCTTTACCATTTAGTCATGCCAAGATCTTTCAAAAATGCCTACTTTTCAAAGATCGAAGTACCAAAGGGTATTTCATCGGAGAGAATGCCATAGACATAGTATATCTTGATCTCAGTTAGCAAACCATCTGACCAAATACCTCATGATAAACTTCTGTATTTAAATTGCTAAAATGTGGGTTACTTAATGGAACTGGGAGGTGGACTCACAACTGATTAAACAACAAAAGTAACGATAATAAGTAGAAGTAAATCTAGAGAGCGTTAAAGTAGAACTGTGTCCCCACAGCCCTTTGAAATTGAACATTTTACAAATGAACAAATTGCAATTGCAACTGCAATTGAACAATTGCAATAAACATTGCAATTAACACAAATCCATAGGATTAATATAGACCAAAAATGATAAAATTACAAATTAATATCATTTCTACAATCTGGAATGCTGTGCTGAAAGCAATATGAAGACATAAGAATAAATAAACAAAATCTGCTTTGGGTAAAAAAAAAGAATCGAATAACACAGACGACTTGACTTGTGTACAATTTGCATAAAAAAAAGACCTAAAGGCTTTTACTTCATCTACAAAGTCAATAAAAGCCAAAAAGTAGTGATGTGGATGTTTAGAAAGGCAACACAGTCTTCAGAGTCTAGAAAATATACCATACAATGTATGGTTAAAGGAACTAAAGGTATACTTCTTGCCCAAAGAGGTCTAAATGGAAACAGCCCAGCTACGTTTATACACAAATGGTTGGTTGCTCTACAGAAGAGACAAATTTTCTCTTCTATGTTTGTGTATTTCTCCAGAAGTCAGTACCAGAACCAACTGGCAGAAATTAAAGGAAAACAAAGTTTGGCTCAATATAAAAAAGAACTCTACTTCTAGAGTTCTCCAACACTATTATCAGGTAATAAGCTGTCTCTAGAATAATTTAAATACAGTCTGGATAACTGATAGACTAGAGAAAGAAGTTCTATCTCTAAGGCAGATTGGTCTGGATTAATTATAAGCATTCTTCAAACTCTAAATTCTATGATTCTGTTTCTCATCTACATACATCAAAGGCTTCATATCAAGGACATATATCAAAGGCTTCAAATTGAAAATTATCATTATGTGCTACAGCTAATGCCTTTTAGAACTCACCCTTTCTTTTTTCTTAGTTAATGCCCACATGTTGTCATGGTACAATATCCTAAAGCTGAATAACAGTATAACAAATTTATATTATTGTCTATTTCCTACCAAAACACTGAATTCAATTATGCCATGACCAGCAGTGTGCTGCTAAATGATTAGCAACTGGCTTTCCTAGTGTAGTTTGGAGTACTGGTTGATGTTTTCGTTTATGTGAATGATGTCAACAACGTTTCTCTGCTGAAGTGGATAATCATTTTTGAACAAAAGAATATATCCTCAATTTTTTGAGCTATGCACAATTTAATAGCTAAAGACACGACACTTTTAAGTTTGCATTACTAGCATTTTCTCCAACACTTTTAAGTCTAGACAATCAATAAACAATAAATCAAGCCTTGATTTATGGCATTTGCCGATCTCTGGGGTGTAATATTCCCACCATGGCTAATTTCAAGCCTCCAGTGTGACATTACTGAACATGGAGTTGGAAAAAGACACAAAGTAGCACACCATGACATATTTCAGCCATAAACGTACAATATACATAAATAACTTCAAGAGCATAGATCATAGTAAAAGGTAGTAAAATAATTAGGAAGTGATGAATTTTAAGTATTTATTATCTTCTTATAAATGCAATTTACTTAATAATAAGTTATATAAATTTAATTTTTAATAATGGCTGTGTTTAACAATTTCTTTGCAAAATTCCTAAAATTTTAACAATCAGCTCTCAGGCCAGTAAGAGATGCTCCAATATACCACTGGCTGTGACAATTCTTTAGTAATAACTCACAGACACACAAAAATGAGAAGCATCCTCATCTTGTGGACTTTCAAGATAATGCTAATTTATTGTGAAACCTTGTTGTATTTTTTCAATTTTTTTTGCAACTGTAGGCATGAAAAGCCTTTAACATTGGGAGAAGGTGTGCCCACCATATGCAATTTTTAAAAATCTAAATTGGATTAAAATTTGCCTACCCAGGTATTTACTACAGCACTTGATATTTTCCTTTTCTCATTTAACACAGGTTTGACTTTTTCACAGTGTTCTAAGTGCTTTTATCAGTCCAATTTGCTTCTTAACTGAAGGGGAGAACCAGTTACTTGGAGTCTATTTTGCAGTTAATTTATCCTGGAATTTATCATGGCCATTAGCATGCAATTCTTTTCAAAATTACATTTTCTCCTTTTTTTTTTTTTGAGGAAGATTAGCACTGAGCTGACATCTGCTGCCAATCCTCCTCTTTTTTGCTGAGGAAGACTGGCCATGAGCTAACATCCATGCCCATCTTCCTGTACTTTATATGTGGGACGCCTGCCACAGCATGGCTTGCCAAGTGGCGCCATGTCCGCACCGGGGATCTGAACCGGCAAACGCGGGGCCACTGAAGCAGAACATGCGAACTTAACCACTGCACCACCAAGCTGGCCCCTCAAAATTACATTTTCTAAAGGGATAAAAATTCAGCTTCCTCCACGATGGTGGGCAATTAATTGCTAACATAGGGCTTTAAAATATTTTACTCCAAATCATTTTTTCTATACTATACTTTTGAACAGTGGGATCATAACGTGAGTACCTGTCCAATTGCTTCTACAGTTTCAAATTAACCTTGAGAGAAAATATCAGTAACCTCCTTTACGTACCTTTCTGACTCATCTTCCTGAGTAAGTGAACTAGCACAAAACAAATCAGGCTTTTACATTTTCCTAACAGAATGTCAACGCTGTTTGTCCACATTTGGTATCTAAAACATATGGTTCCCTCTTCAATCAACAGTACAGAATATTAGCACTTAAGGCACTCAGTGGATAATTCAACCATGGATTTGATCCAGTACTTACCGAAGGCTCACTTGAGACATCTGATATTTGAGAGAAATGCCTAACAAGCATGTTAACTATTCTATTTTCCAGAACAAATTCTCTATGCTCTCTCACTTTGTTAGCTCATTAGAATGCATCATAACTAAACCATATATTTTGTCTTCAACTTTTTACTTGCAAATAATTTCAAATTTATACATAAGTTACAAAAGCAAAAATACTACAAAGAGCACCTGTACACCCTTTACCCACATTTATTTACTGTTAACATGTTTCCCATTTGCTCTATCATTTGCAAGTATGCATGTTCCCTCTCTCCTCTTTCTCTACACACACACACACACAATTTTTTTTTCTGAACCTTTTGAGGGCAAATTACAGGCATCATGGCCCTTTATCCCTAAATACTTCAGAGTATTATTTCCTATAAATACTCATATTCTCTTACCAAATCAGAATACAGTTATCAACATCAGCAAATTTAACACTGATACTTTTATCAAATCTAACATGAGTATTCCAATTTTGTCAGGTGACCCAGTAATGTCTTCTATAGCATATTTCCCTAATAGCGGATCCAATTTAGAATCAGGTAATGCATTTAATTAGCACATCTCTTCATCTTTCACATTCTAGAATGTTGCCACAGCCTTTCATTATCTTTTATGACATCAACATTTTGGAAGACTAGCTCCTCGTCCCACCCTCTTTTTAAGAGAACATCCCTCATTTAAGGTTTGTCTGATGTTTCCTCAT